CTAAAAAACAAAATTAAGGGGTGAGAGAGAATTATACTGGGAGGAAAAGAAAGGGAGAAGTAGAATGGGGTAAATTATCTCACATAAAAGAGGCAACAAAAAACTTTTACAGTGGAGAGAAGGGGGGGAGGTGAGAGGGAATGAATGAATCTTACTCTCATTGGATTTGGCTTAAGGAGGGAATAACATACATACTCAATTGGGTATGGAAATCTATCTTACCCTACAGGAAAATAGGGGGGAAAGGGATAAGAGAGGAGTGATGATAGAAGGGAAGATTGGGGGAGGGGGTAATCAGAAGCAAACTTTTGAGGAGGGACAGGGTCAAAGGAGAGAATAGAATAAATGGTAGAGCAGGATAGGATGGAAGGAATTATAGTTAGTCTTTCACAACATGACTATTATGAAAGTGTTTTGCATGACTACACATGTATAACCTATATCAAAAGCCTTGCCTTCTCAATGAGTGGGTGGGGAGGGAGGAAGGGAGAGAATTTGGAACTCAATTTTAAAAACTAATGTTAAAAATTGTTTTTAGGGGCAGCTAGGTGGCACAGTGGATAGAGCTCTGGCCCTGGAGTCAGGAGGACCTGAGTTCAAATCCAGCCTCAGACACTTGACACTTACTAGCTGTGTGACCCTAGGCAAGTCACTTAACTCTAATTGCTTCACCAAAAAGCAAAAAAAAAAATTATTTTTACATGCAACTGGGAAATAAGATACACAGGCAATAGGGTATAGAAATCTATCCTGCCCTACGGGAAAATAGAAGAGGAAAGGGATAAGAGAAGGGTGGGGGTGGTGATAGAAAGGAGGGCAGATTGGGAGAAGGGGTATTCAGAATCCAAGCTGTCTTGGGGTGGGGGAGGGGAAAGATGGGGAGAAAATTTGGAACTCAAAATCTTGTGGAAGTGAATGTTGAAAACTAAAAATAAATTAATTAATTTAAAAAATGCCCCTGCCCTATGCACTATTTCCAGCCCTAAAATTCTGTGTACAAGAGCTCTGTGTGCTAAAATGGTTACGGATTAGACAGATTTAATAATTCAATTCAATAAAAATTTGTTGTTATTGAATTGTGTCTGACTCTTTGTGACACCATTTGGAGTTTTCTTGGCAAAGACACTGGAGTATTCTGTCATTTCCTTCTCCAGCTCATTTTACAGATGAGGAAACTAAGGCAAATAGGGTTAAGTGACTTGTCCAGAATCACACAGCTAGTAAGTGTCTGAAACCAGATTGGAATTCAGGTCTTCCTGACTCCAGGCCTGGCACTCTATCCACTGAAACACCTAAGTGCCCAGCTCAATAAACATTATTAAACCTCTATTATGTGACAGGTACCATGCTAAACCTGGGGATACAAAAAGAGGCAAAAGACAATTCCCACCCTCAAAGAGCTTAGAGATAATAGAAATTAGAGAGAGATGACTAGAGAGAGATTAGAGATGAGAGAGACAGAGAGAGACAGACACAAAGATCTCCCTGAGAGACAGAAAGAGAGTGTAGACCAGCAAAATAGTCCCTGTTCTTAAGGAGTTTACATTCTGTAACTGGGGGGGGGGGGGAGACAATCCATAAAGGGGAGCTGGGAGGGCTGAGAATTATGTCTATAAATTTCTTAAGCCAATAAGAAGCCCAATTTTTCACAAGCATCTATAGACTGGACAAATTTTTTTTAAAAAATTCTCCCCATCTGTTAGAGTAAAAGCTGAATTCATTATAATAAGAAAACTAAACAAGTAGAGAATTTTTCAAGTACTGTAGAAGCAATAATTTACATAATAATGGCTACAACACATTCTTATCTCTTTGTCAAAGCAGACCCTAGAGGGCAGGGGTTCTTAACTTTTTTGTGTGTCTCGGATTCTTCTGACAATCAATCTGTTTAACTGCTTATATGCACCACTACTCAGAATAAGGTTTTTAAATACTTGAAGGAAATGCTATATTTTAGTCAGAGGGCATTGAAATAATAATAAATAAACGTATTTTTCCCCCATCCAAGTTCTCAGATTCCCTCAAAATCTATACCCAGATCCCTCTCCATGGACCTCAAGTTAAGAACGCTATCAAGAAGTATCTACTAGATGACACTCCTTGACTGGCTCAAGTTTTGGTAAACACTTAAAAGGGAAAAAGCAGAATTTCTTTATGTAATATCTGAAACTTGAGTTCCAGCTTTGCAGCTTAGCTGTGTGATCTTGGAAAAGTTGTTAACTGTTCTCTACCTCAGTTTCCCCACCTAAAAAAGAGGTATTCTGTAATGCCTCAATAGATTTGTGACTCCATCAATTTGGTTATTCCCTCCATTGGTGTGTTGATAACAAGGCAACTGACTTCTCAATTATTGCCCATATTCTCCCACAGATACCCCAGATGCTGCCTGACCTATTAGAGGGCTTGAGCTTTCTTACACTTCATAATCAGTTCAGCACTCACCCAAGATGTTTGTCTATAACCCCTCCTTGGTCTTACTATATCACTGACTCACCTCCCTTCCCATTCATCCATTTTCTCCATTATACCCCCTGTACCACTTCTTATGCATAGGTCAGCTTTGGAAACATTCTGCAGCTTACTTATGCCTACTGCCATCCAATGGGTAACTCACAACTTTGATTCTCTGAAAAATGAGAGTGTTCCAAGATATAGTATCATGGAGAGAATATTTGTGTACACGCATGCACACATGCGCACATATACACACACACACAGGAACATCTTGGGATCATTAAAAGCATTCTGTAATTTACAAAATGTCATTCACTTGGCAGTCTTCCTCCTATTAAATTCTGGGATCTACTCATTGTTCATTTGTAGTGCCTAACAAATGCAGGCAAGTCACCTAAATTCTTTCGGCCTCAATTTTCCACCTCTGTAAAATGGGACAAGCAGCTATCTTGCAGGGTTGAAGAACCAAAGACTGTGTGTGTGTGTGAATGTGTGTGTGTGTGAGAGAGAGAGAGAGAAAGGGATGGAGGGAGAACATTAACACAAATGAGTTTACCTTATTGGCTAACTATCAACTTGCAAGTTTTAAGGAATATGGCAGACAATAATAATCTACCTCAATAGATCCACGATCTCATCAACATGTGCATGGTATTTCCTTCAACCCATCCATGACTTCCCAATGAATACCATTATGGTCCATATTTTCCCATATATCCTCTATAGAGGATCGATCTAACATATGAGAAGCCTTCCTTTAGATCTTTTCATACTTCATGGGTACAAATGCAACACTTGGCTGGGTTTGCTATGGACTGGGGAAGGATAGGCAGAAGGCAGCATAGCTTTTAGTGGGACAAGTAATGGTACAGTGGATAGAGCGCCAAGCCTGGAGTCAGATACTTACTTGCTGTGTGACTCTGGGCAAGTCACTTAACCCTGTTTGCCTCAGTTTCCTCATTTGTAAAATGAGCTGGAGAAGGAAATGGCAAACCACTCTAGTATTTTTGCCAAGAAAACCCCAGAATGGTGTCATGAAGAGTCAGACACAACAGAAATGACTGAAAACCTAAGAAGCCTTGAACTGGGATTAGACAGATACCCTACAAGGTTTGACACAAAAGAAGTGTGATCTATGATGATGGGATATTTCTTATCCAAGAGATACAATCATAGGTTCTATCATCTTCAGCACTGAAAAGGAAAATCAATTCTGATTTCACCTTCCAAGGCCAAGAGTTGGTATAATCTGACCATTCAAACATATGATGACAGTAGAAATCTAGAAGTCACCTGAAAGCAAACACTTTGCCTGTTAACTCTAAGACAGATGCAAAACCCAGTGTTTGTCTGATGTGGACGTGACTTCTGCCTCAGGTCAGGTGGCATATAGAGACTGCCATGTTGCTTTTCATCTCATACAGTCAAAATCTCATGGGCAATATTTTTTATTATTTAATAATATCTCCCATTAGTCAGACCTAATCAACTTAAAAGGTCTCAAGAAGAGTAATCAAGTAATTTCAGACACATACTAACTGATCCTAACTGATACTACCTGTGTGACCTTGAACAAGTCACTTAACTTCTCTGGGCCTCAGTTCACTCATCTGTAAAAGGAAAAAATAAGGGGGTTAGACTACATGACCTCAGAGGTCCCTTCTAACTCTAGATGTACCATCCCATGGCTTACAACAAAAATAGCACAACTGAGGCAGGTCATTGGACCTCACTTTGAGCTTTCTGATTGGTTTCAGGGAAAGACTCAAGGCAGCACAGTGTAGTGGGAAGAACACCGAATTTAGAGTGAGAAGAACCAGATTCAGATCCCAGCTCTGTTCCTTACAGCCCGCTTGACTATGAACATCATTTTGTTCATTTGTAAAATGATGGCATTGAACTAGATGAATAGTCAATGTAAGACTAATACTATCATCCCATGAAACTTGCTATTTCTTCATATATGGAATTGAGAATGAGAGACCTCCCACCCTCACCCAACTTGGTTCAATGAGTATAGGAACCACAACTGGTAAGGCAGTTAGCTGGTGTGGATTTGTTTGTACCCTTGCATATAAAACTGACCAAGTTCCCTGTATTTTTAACTCAGTTTGTAGTCAAATCACAGGTCTGAAACAACAACAATAACAACATCAACTGAAAGTGTTTCAATACAACTGAGGCATTCATAATAACAGACATGGTGATGTCATTCTTTCAGAATGAGAAAATACTGATAGAATTATTCTGAGTATTTATAATGTTAAAAAAAAAAGCCCTCAATTTCAGAAGTTATCAAAAGCTGGTGAAGCTAGAAAAGAAAAAAAATCCCATAAAATGATTCAGTTTCTGTTGAGAAGAGTATATATCACATGTCTCCAAGAAACCAATACAAAAGGCTCAGATTACATAATGCTTGGTGGGAAAAATGTTAATGATAATGACAATGTTTTTTTTTCAAATTCAATAAAAATTTAAATTATTCAAATAATATCTAATCAAGACAAGGAAGTTCAGAAACGAAAGCCACATATACACAAAACACATCACAACAGGAATGGGTTTTATTTCAACCAGACAAGTCAACACTTCAATTAGTATCCACTTCTTCACAACCTGAAGATGTAAAAATGAATGACTGCATTCAAAAGACAAAGAGGGAAGTCAACCAATCTCTCTTTTGATCCAGACTGTCCTTCCTAACTTCCTTTCTTTAACAAGCCAAAGCAAAAAGATCAGTTCTTTCTGGTATTTTGTCCAGGGTCATCAAGACAAAGGCAAAAAGGGAGGGAACGAAACCAAAGTCAGTAATCATCAGGACATCTTTTTGAAATAAAAATTATTTTTGACCAAAAAAACCAATAAAATAAAAATGTTTGTTTTTAGAAATATCATCTTTCTCAAATGTTGAAAGTAAAAACATTTTAAAATTTCTACACATAAGATCTCATTACAGTATGCCAGGGCACATGTACAAAAAAGACATATAGTTTGTTGACTGATTATCATCCAGTATCTCATGCCATAATTTTATTTCTTCCTCTGATGCTCCAATTTGCACCAGAATTTTGATGAGGTCAGAATTCTATTGAAGAACTCCCTTCAAAACCAAACATACTATATAAAGATTTAATATCATTTACTTTGTGGGGGTTAGAAAATTATCTTCATAAAGGGTTTCAGGTTTCATTTAGTACTGAATTGCTGATATAAAATAAACCAAGAGGCAGCATGACCTAGTGGCTAGAGTGTTGAGCTTGGAATCAGAAAGACCTGGGTTCCAATCCTAACTTGGACACTTACCAGCTGTGACTTCTGTGTGCCTGAGACAATTCCCTAGGACTTACTTAAACTAAGTCATGGATTGGCAGTCATCTGCACCAGCAGTGAGAATTCCCACTCTGGACAGAATCTAAGACCTTTTGTGTATTCTCACTTAATACAGCAGATTTATGGGGCGGGGGGGGGGACAGGGGGAAAAGCAAAAATGTTCCATCTATTCCTTACTGCCACAGTCTTTTAATATAACATGGAAGAGAAGAAGCCTTAGTCTGGGAATGGGATGACTTGGTTGTCCGCATTCTAGACCAATCCTATCTTATCAAAAATTTATCCTTCCCAGAGCCTAGAAAAGTACTCTGCACCTAGTAGGCATTTAATAATTGTTGTATATACTACTGTATTATAATCCCTTCTTCTGTCACTAGAATGCAAAACTAGATAATTCATTTTTCTCTCTGGGTCTATGTTTCCTTCCCTGTAAAATGAGGGAGGCTAGACTTAGGTCCCTTCCAGTTCTGACATTCTATGGTCTAAGGTTCCTTCTGGGCCTGTAACTCTATGATGTTTGGAGTCTTCACTGCATGGGTACTTCATAAAGCCTTAGCTCTCACTGCTTAACCAGTGGAGTGGTCAGCTCCTTGGGTAATGTGAATGTATGTTTACAGAAAATATCTCTCATTGTGGAGGAAGAGGACAGAAATTAAGCTTGGGAGACGGCTCTCCTTCCATGGGACATTCACTCACAGACAGAAATATGAGACAAAAAAAACCAACAAACTCAAAAGGGAAAAAAGCATTCACAGTAAAACATGCTAGCTTTGTAGTTTCATTTGAAACCAACAGCAAATCATGAAACGTCATGAAAAATATAAGTCAAGATAAAAATCTCCTAGAGTGATTACTAAATGAAGTTAAAATTACCACACTGATCAGTAAACCCCAGAAGAAAAACACAGCTATTACATTTCAGATCCTTCTGAAACATTTCTCAGCTTTTTAAAACGAATGCAAAAAACTGGGACATTTGGCCACGTTGCACATTTTGTCCTTTAAAAAAAAAAATACAGTATACAGAAAGAAAAAAAAAAAACCTCTTGTATTCCCCATGTGAATTTTGAATTCTATGCTCAAAACCCCAAGAGTAAAAGATCAGCTAGAAGGATTTCAGATTATTTACAAATCCAGCAGGTACGAGTGCCAAAATGGCTTCGTTCCTATCCTGATCGTGGCTTTCACTTTCTCCAGCAGCAACCTCAGCAGGGGCATTTTTCCCGTCTTTTGTCCAGGTGACATCACTACTGATCATCAGTCATCTTAAACAGTTCCAGTAGGGCCCCAACAGCGCCAAAGTAGCCCTTCAAAACAAGAGAAAACATGATAAGAAACTATTTAGAAAAATGTTAAAATAGCCAATGACCCAAAAAATTCTTGGAATGTTAAATCCCTAATGTTTGGGGTGGTGAGAGTTAAATTCTAATTCCATTCAAACATCATTAAGTGCTTACTACATGCAATTAATCAATCAAGCCCTTATTAAGCACCTAATATGTTCTGGGAACTGAGCTAGCTGCTAGGGAGAAAACAAAAATTAGATGATCCCTGCCTTCAGGGAACTCAGGGGAGACAGCATATATATGAGATACCACATACATAAGCACATAATAAACAGGCCCTGGAAATAGGCAGATAGGGACAAAAAAAAAATAGACTAGTCACTGCACTCAAAGCGCTTACAAGTAAACACAAGGTAATTTAGCATGTCAACTAGGCAAGATCCAGTAAGGCTTCAAGAAGAAGGTGATACTTAGTCTGAGTCTAGAAGGAAGATAAGAGTTAGGGGGGAATGAATTCCAGGTTGTTGAGATTGGGGAGAAGGGATATATCAGGGGAGAGGAAATGGGAATACAGAAATGTCATATTTGGTCAATAGGTAAAATGTGTGAAGCAGAGTCATAGGAATAAATCTGAGAAAGTCTGCAAGATGGCTCTGGTCTTTAAAAGTCAAGCTAACAGATCTGAATTTTACCCCAAAGGCAAGACGGAGCCACTGTGGATTTTTGAGTAAGGGACTCTTCAGAGTACGCAGCTCTCTTCTCTTCAACAGAAGTCTCAGAGTTGTTTCTTAACTCCAAGTATCCACTACAAGATTTTCTTCTAATCTTTTTCAGGCAGGTCAGGATTTCCTCACACCTTTTTAGATCCCTCTTGATCCCCCCCCCCCCCCAGGCCTTTCTTCTTCTTTCTTTGTTGTTGTTGTTTTTAAAGGCATATTTCATTCTCCTGGATAACCTCTTGACCTCTTCTGGTGGCCCTTTGTTTTCTGCTCTTTGTTATTCAGACAATCTGTCTCCTCCTTCCCTCATAGTCCATCTCTTTCTTCAGCTCTGAAGCAGTGATCAAGGAGCCAGCATGGCCTGGTTCAGGCAGCTGATGGCATAAAGACCTGAGTTCAAATCCAGCCTCAAATACTTACTAGTTGTATGACCCTGGGCAAATCACTTAACCTCTGCTTGCCTCAGTTTCCTTAATTGTAAAATTGGGATAATAATAGCACCTACCTCCCAGGGTTGTTGGGAGGATCAAATGAGATAATATTTGTAAAGCACTTAGCACAGTGCCTGGCACATAGTAAGTAAGTGTTTAATAAATGCTCATTCCCAGGCAAAAGAGTGTTACATTTTGCCCCAAATAAATTTAAGGCCAAATAGGTACAACATTTCAATAAAAAAAAATAAAATTAATGCTTATTCCCTCCCCACTTTCAATGATGTCGGTAAAAGCATAAATGGCATATTTATCAAATTTGCAGATGACACAGCTGCTGGGGATAACCAGCATATTAAATGGCAGAATCAGGATTCCTAAAGACCTTAATAGGCTAGGATGCTAAGATGAATCTATAGCAATGAAATTTAACATAAAATTTAAAAAGCTTTACACTTGAAATTTAAAGTTTTTTACTTCATTGGCATCTAGGTGGCACTGTAGACAATGTTGGGCTTGGAGCTGCGAAGACCTGAACATAAATCCTGTCTCAGACACTTGCTACATGACTGACCTTTGGCAAGTCATTTATCCCTCTGGAGCCTCAATTTCCTTATCTGTAACATTAAGGAGTTGTACACCATGGACTTTGAGATCCCTTCCAGTGTTAGATTTACGATCCTATGAATTTTTAAAATCAGCTTCATGCATACAAGGTAGGAGGCATGTGCTTTGACAGAAATTAAGCTCAAGAAGACCTAAGAGTTTCAGTGGTCTCAATGAGTAAATAATGAACTTAATTTTAGGCTGCATCAAGAGAGGCAGTCAGTGGGACTTGGGAAATGATAGTATTTTGCTCCTGGCCAGATCACATCCAGAATAATACATTCAGTTCTTGGTGACTCTTTAGAATGGATATAGATAAGCTGGAGTGTGTCCAGAAAAGGTCAATGAGGAAGGTGAAGGACCTTGAGTTCATACCACATGAGAAGTGGTTGGGATGTTTAGCCTGGAAAGAAGAGGCCCCAAAGAGTACATGCCATTGGTCTTCAAATATTTGAAGGGCTGTCATGCGGAAGAGCAATCACACTTGTTCTGAAGGGTCCCAGAATGCAGGACAAGTAGTAAAGGAAGGAAGGTGCAGAGAGCCATTTTAAGCTTGATGTAATGAAAAACTTTCTAAAAGTCCAGAGCCATCTAAAAATGGAATGGGCTGCCTTGGAAGGTAGCAGGTTCCCCAACCCTGCATACCTTCAGGTTTGATGACCATTTGGGTTAGTTATACATATGAGAAATTTATTTAAATGCCAATGTGACTAGGTGGCCTCTGGAATTTCTTCCAAATCTGAGACTGTTTCGGTGTGACAAGTCCCAAGGGTCTCATCTATTGGTTGATTATAGTCACAGTCATAGGAGTTATAGCTAGAAGGGAGACTCATTTGATAACCAAGACAGAGGTGAAGTAGCTTTTCCATAGCCGCAGGGTAGCAGAGCAGTCATCTGAGCCCAAATTCTCTGACTCCAAAGACAAGAAACATCAAAGATCATGGAAATTCATTGATGAGAAAAGACCTGCTGCCCTCTCTACACCCAGAAATGGCCTGGAAATCGTGGAAATCAAGGGAAACTCCTCAATTCTTCTGGTAACTGAATGAAAGTTCTTCTACCCAATGAGTACAACTGAACATAAGAAAACAGTGCCTGGTACTCTAAGAAAATAGCCTGGCATTCTACAGAGCAATACATTACACTGAATGTTTAGCTAGGGACCACTTCCAAGTAGGAAAAAAAGTACTGTCTTATTTTCAGCATTCATTTTCATCAATGGGTATCACAGATGAGTTGTGGTTACTACTAGCTGAGGTAATGCCCCTACAGATGAGAACCACAGAGGTCCTAATGAACTAGATCACAAGCTTTTATGTACTTTAAGAAACTCAAATGTGATTTACCTATCTCTTTATTCTATATAAAAAAATACAAGTAAATCATTCCACACATGATTTGTTGTTGTTGTTCAATTGTTTTTCCAATCATGTCTGACTCACTTTGTGACTCCATTTGGGGTTTTCTTGGCAAAGAAACTGGAGTGGTTTACCATTTCCTTCTCCAGTTCATTTCAAGATGAAGAATTGAGGCAAACAGGGTCAAGCAACTTGCCCAAGGGCACACAGGTAATAAGTGTCTAAGGCTGCATTTGAATTCAGGTCCTCCTGACTCCAGGGCTGGCATTCTATACACTTGGCCACCTAACTTCCTCCACACATGACTGAGTTTGCCTTAAAGATAGAGCAAGGAGCCCCACAATAGCTATTCATTATCACATTCATACAAAATAAATTCCAAAGAGAAAAAAAAGTCTTCAATTTCTCTTGAGCTGAATGCCAAGTATAATCCAGCATCTTCCTCTACCTTCCAGATTGTCGGACTAAGGAGACAAATTCATCAATTGATAAAGAAAACAAATAGTTCTGTGAAGTATTCTTTATTTGGAGAGGGAGTACAGTATGGTAGAGACAGACAGACAGAAAGACAGACAAATGGAGGGGGATGACAAGAGGAAAATCTTTAACCTAACTCTCATGCTTCCCAAGTGTATGTAACCATAGGTAAATCATTTAATTTCTCTGACACCTGGTTTCCTCATGATCACATTTAAGCCACTGACTCTCCGTAAGGTTGTTGGAACAAAATTACTTTTTAAATTACAAAGCCCCACACATGTGAGAGAAAGCTGTGGGCTAGTGGAGATCTGGCCTGGGAGCCAAGAAGATCCAGTTATATGATCCTGGCCAAGTTACTTACCCCCCTTGGAGTCTAAAACAGATTAAAATATAATTGGGAAATATTTAACAAAACTGATACAAATACAATAGAACAGAGATAATCTTAATATGTGGTATTCTAAGTCAATATGCAGCCAGGAGGGATCCTTGTGTATGGTCCAGTGGCCTCCATTTCTATCCAAATTTGACACCACTGCTCTAGATAACTCCTTAAGAGTGCAGACTACAGGTTGCAGAAAGGGTGATGATCTGGATTGGGAGACGGAGATTCCTCATGCGGAAATTCCCTATATCAATTAAATTACAAATCCAATCTCTATCTCTTCATCCCTATATATATATGTGGGCATTTATTTTAGGCAAATGATTCCATACATGTCATACCTACCTCATGTTCCAAGAACAGAGCTTTTAGCTGTCCTTTGGACCAAAAATCCATGGCATATGCTAGCAGCTTCATAGAGACCATATTGATTCTAAGGAAATTCCCAACAAACACCACTCTGTCAATGTTCTGCCAGGGGAAAAAAAAAATTTTTTTTTCATGTTAGAGCTGTAGAAACAATAAGTAGAACACATTTATTCTGCAATTTTTCTTTTAAATGTCAGTTTCTCAGCATTCTTTGGCTTAAGCTAAGAGTTGCTCAGTAGCATGGGGATATTGGAAGGCACATGGGCAGAATAGAAGTCATTATCTGCCCCAGCTCTAAGAGACTCGTTTTGGTGGCAGTCTGAAGATGGAGGCAGCTTGAAATCTAGGTGCCCACTGATAGTTTAACTGCAATTCCCAGCACTGCTTGCTCCTGTACACATATCAAAAGACTGCAATCAACTCTTGGTCATGTGCCTTTGTTCAAACAGATCTTCATGCTTCAGAGAGAGTCCCCTTCCCCCCCTTCCCCCCTCTCCCTCCCCACTGAGACAACATCAACAATAACCAATAACAGGTAGCATTTCTACAGCCCTTTCACCTTCACAAAGCACTTTATATACCTTAACTCAATTTTCAAAACAATCTTGTGAAGTAGGCATGAAGGTATTCTTGCTCCCATTTTACAGATGAGAAAACTGAGACTCAGAGAGGTGAACGGGCTTGCCCAGTCACCCAGTTAGTGTCAAAGGCAGGTCTCTTCCTAACTCTAAGACCAGCATTCTAGCTACTACCTTACATAGCCTCTCAGAAGCCCCACCCTTCTATAAAGGTTATCCCCAAGTTCCCCAGATGAAAACGATGTCTCCCTCATCAAATTTCAGGTAACAATTTACCTGACTCACCTTTGCCCCCCAATCACATTTTACCTTTGTAATATACTCATGTGTAGCCTTATTATATCTCCATTATCAGACGTAGGCTCCTTAACAGCAGAGACTGTGCCATTTTTCTGTCTTTGAATCCCCAGTGAGAATGCCTTGTACACAGTTGGTAATTAATGTTTGTTTGTTGAATCTGAATTGTTCCACATTCCCTGAGCACATAGTAACCAAAGCACAAAGCACAAAGGGGTAGCAGAAGCAAGCCAGCTTAGGGTTTCTAGACACATCTATGGGTAATTTAAAAATGGGCGCAAATGAACAATAATTGGTAGGACTTTCACAACCCAAATGTTGCTGGGGACTCAAGTCCTGCATGTTGGCCATACCTGTGGCTTACAGAAGACTTCCAAGGGGATGGTAAGGAGAAAAGCAAATCAGGTTCTCAAGGTAAACCTTACCTGCATAGCAGCACTCTGAATTGGAAGGTTGGGGTGAGGGAAGGAGTTAAGGGTTTAACTTGAAAATGACACTTGCCAAAATAAGCTCTAGTTTCATTTCATCCTGAGCCTCTAGAAATGCAATGAAGGGTCCCGAGCATGGCTGTTAAACCAAGAGATAATTAAGAAAAACACCAGTTCAACTCAGATGGTTCAAGGCTACAGAAGGTCTAAGGTGGCATTCCATCCAAGCACAGGGTCTGTGTAACCCAGGAAGTAGGTTATTGTACTTTGCAGTTTTATCTAGAAATAACTGGGAACAAAAGGGGAAAACTCATGCTTCTGCCACCCAATGTTTTAAATTCTGGGAAGGCAGCATGGCATGTTGAAAGGTGTGCTAGAAGTGGCATCAAAGGCCTTGGGTTCAAATCCTAATTTTACCACTTAACTATCTATATGTCAGGCAAGTGAATTAAACATCCTAGACACCAGAACCTTCTCTTTAACATAAAGGTCAGATTAACTGGCCTTTGAGGTCTCTTTCAACTCTCAAACTATGATCCTATGACTAGACCAGCAATTTAAGATCTGTCATCCTTTGGGAATAAACTTACACTGGAAATAATAACTATAATGTATGCAGAGTATCCCCAAAGACAATGCAGTTTGGGCTTTAATAGGTTTAAATTGCACTAAGACTTCTGTAATAGCCTGGATGGTATTATTTTACAAGCATGACCTCTATGTGGTAGAATGGGAAAGGCATGTGTTCTCTAGTCTAATAACCTAAATTCCTATCCTCTAATGCTTGCTACCCATAGGACCTTGGTCAAGTCCATTTTCCTCCCTGGGTCTCAGGTTCCTTGTCTGTCAAATGAATAGGTTGGACCAAGATGGCCTTTGAATGATGAGCCTATATTTCTCACAATCTGTACAATAAATACTACAGGTATTTTTATCCCCAATTTACAGATGAGGAAATTGAGGCTCAGAGGTTAAATGAATTGTCCAAGGTCGCACAGCTAGTAAGCTTCAGAGGTAGGATTTAAAGCCAGGTTTCCCTGTCTTCAAGTCCATCCTCCAGCTATTATTCTACCCTACAGCTTCCCTATTCACATTTGTATTACTATACTATCCCTATTTGTATTACTATGCTATACATGTAGACTAACTCCAAGTCCCACACACTTGGAAATAGAAACACGCTAACTGCTTTTCCCACTCCCCAGACCTCCCAGGTTGCTAGGAGTCCAGCTTCAGCCATCACCAACCAACCTGACCTACTGACAGAGCTTGTCCTCCAAAGAATGGCTCTGTTGCTATGGAAACATTTCAGAGAAGGGGAGACTAGCCTTGGAAACCAGCATTACTTTCCCTGTTCAATATATCAAGAGCAAGTAGAACCTAGTGGGAACCTCCATTTCCAACGGCTTGAATTTTTAACCATGTAAAACTCTGAAGATCTAATTTATTCGGGCAAACCCATTCTGACCCTGGATTTCAGAGTCTTGCTTCTTAGAATAGAGCAGCAACCACCACAATCCACGGAATTTTGAAAGGGAAAGGCCATGTGGGAATAGGCAAACTGCCTTCAACAGAGAAGAAGGTGGCAGTGAATATTAAAAAGGAAGAGGAAGCCTGGAAAGAAACCAATTAAATTTAGAGGAAGGGCTTTTCCCTCTCCCTCTTTCCCAACACAATGTTGCCAGAGAATGAAGCTTCTCCTTGCACTGAGGAAAAGTGTCAATCTCAACAGCCTTGAGACAGAACTGGTAGAGAGTCCAGGACAAGAGGACATCAAAAGATGACACAATCTGACTGTCATGGAAGCCAGACTTCTAAAGGGACAGAACCTCTCAATAACAATGTAAAATCAAAGATTGAAAGGATAAGCAAAAACAAAAAAACAAAAACAAAAAAAACAAAAAAAAACCCAACCAACACTCCCTCCAAACAACTTTCCCTCTCTAGAAAAGTGTCTGGGGAACTTATCCTATGGGGCTCATAGGAAAATCCCACTCTCTGAAACACTTGGGGGTAGGGTGGGGAGAGAACACTCCCATAAGCTGACAAAAACACAAGTCATGGAATTCAACCTGCAATCTTTTAGTAGAGTCTTTTTCTTCTACTACAGCCTGAGATACCCTCAGCCCTGAGGCAGTAAAACCAATTACATAAGTCTTACAATTCCTCCCAAGGCTATAGTATCATTCAAGACACGTTTAGTATGGTTAAGCCTCTGATGGGCATCCCACTGCAGTGCAGCCATAGCAAGGAAACGGAAGTCAAAAGAGAAAACACATTGGGATACTAACCCAACCAAAATGCCAACCAAACACTCAGGCCATAAATAGCAAGGAACACTTTAACAAGAGAGAAATAAGCGTAAAGGGAAGGCAATCAATGCTCTGGGGAGAGGGGGCAGGTGTTTTCTGTCAATTGATCTTTGGGAGATTATGAACATGGTCCACTCTATACATATTAGTCTAAGGACATATTTGGCAGTTGGGGGTGAGGGGCCTTTGGAAGATAATGTTTAAAAAGAAAACAAAACCAAACAAAACAAAAAAAAACACCAAAGCCTTCTAGCACAGGAAGTTCTGAAGGCAGGAGAGGACGGACTTTAAAAAGGCACATCTCTGGAATGTGTTCATTTAATTTTCCATTAAAACAGCTCCAAGGTTAAAGACTAGATTTCAACCTGATTTTCAAATTCATATTTACATACATATTGTCAAGGCTCACAAATACACTTTCCTATGTGAAATAAAATACAGGGGAAGGCCACTGGAATCCTAGAATTTGGAGATGGGAATAATACCTTCATGTGTTGATCTCATACTAGACCTCAGCTGTATCACAGGCACATTTTGGGGTGATGTGACTTGCATAACATGGTGTTAGTTCTGCAAAGGCTTTCAAGAGATCATCTGGTCTAACCCCTTTGTTTTACAGATGAGGAAACTGAAGTACAAAGCAGTTAAGTGACTTGCTTGAAGGTGAACCAACCAGGACCTGAATCCAGGTTATGGTTTGTCCCCTGTTCTTTTTTGCCTTTCTAATAATAAGCCAAGTTACGATCAGTTTTGACAGCAATTGTATGCTTTGCTGAACAGCTAACTTCACTCCCTCTATTGTCTCTCCTGCTCAAGGATCAGAGATCACAGGAGCTCAGAGCTTGGCAGAACCTTAGAAAATCATATACTCCAACTCTCCCTTCTCCCCTCCTCCCCTATCCAAGCCCTCTTCTCCCTCATCAAGTTAAGTCAGACACTTTGCATTTCAGAAAGCAATGATTTGTCAAAAGGTTATCTTTGCAAAAGTTCAAATGAGGCATCACAGTAACTTTCCAATTTCCTGTAACTGGGGGTGAGAGGGGGTGGGGAGGGGGTCCTGCTGGCCTCCGCTGTAGCTCTCTGTGCTTTGATAGCCCTGTACAATGCTGCTTGAACTCCACGCCACAAGGCAACACTGTAGAGAAGCCGAAAGCAGAAAGAAGAAAGGGTGAAGAGGAAGCAAGGATTCCCATTGAGTTTCTGGCAATGAAACTGGGCTGGACTGCTTTAGCATCTCATTCTACCAACTCTTTGCATGCAGATACGAGGAAACAAAACAAAAGAAAATGTGCAAAGAAGTACATATCCCATTCATTAGGCATGTGATGAAGGATGATGGTTTATAACGGGTTCAGATTGGATTTGAAATTTACAATGCTGCCACTTCCAAATGAACTGACTTGCCATTGGGGACCATACAGGGCCACAGAGGGCGGTGGTGTAGTGCAAAGAGAACAGGCTTTGGACTTGGGAACACTGGGTTCAAGCCTTATCTCTGCCACTTCTTGGCTATGAAACCTTGATTAAGTCAATGAAGTTTTTTGAGCCTTCTTAGGATTTCTTATTGGTAAGATGATACTTCCAGTTACATAACTCAAGGGCCTTTAGAGGATCAAGTAAGGCTGTGTGTATCCAGTACTTTGAAATCTACAATGTACTCTAAAGATGGACACTATCATCATCATCATCATCATTATTATTATTATTATTATTATTATTACTACTACTACTACTACTACTATTGCTAAAAGACCCTGTAACCACCAACTGCTAAAACTGGAAGTGGCCTGAGAAGATGACAGACCTAGATCATAGGGTCATGGATTTAGAAGGAACCTCAGAAGCCTGAGGCCTAGGTAGGCTAAATGATTTGCCCAAGGTCACCCAGGGAGAAGCCACTTAGCCAGTTGTCAGAGGTGGATTTTGAACCCAGGAACTCTGACTCCAAAGCCAATGATGCTGTTTTCCACTATACCACACTGCCTCCCACGATCATGTAGTACAAACACACTTAAAAATGAGATGACTGAGGCCCATCGAAATGATGTGACTTCTCCCAAGTCAGACAACCAGGAAGGGGCAGAGGCAGGACTCTTCACCCTCCTGTCCTAGGCTTTTTCTAATTGGAAATAATTTTCTTTTTCCTTCTCAAAAAGTAGTACTATATAAAAACATTTGTATTTCAGTAGATTAAATGAAAGTATGTTTTTTTTTCTTTTTCCTCCTTAAAGAATACTGGTCCTTTCCTATTATATATAGCACCTGGTCTCCTTTAGGAGACCACATTTTATGAGATGTGTGCAAACTGAAAAAGGAAGGAATTTTACTGAAACATTAACAAAGATCAAAAAAAGCTACTGAACAGAAAAGGCCAAAATGCAAGAAGAAATGAGCATGCATTGTATAGACAGATGGTGAGTTCATAACCTTACCTCATTCTGGGCACACATCCGAGCAATGGAACCGATGTTATTTGTGATAGTGACCAAAGTCGCTCTGGCTAGGTCCTCTTTGCTGATGGCATCTCGTTTTTCTTTACTCATCATGTTGCCAAAGCTATGTTGGAAATATTAGCAAAGGGGTTCAAATCATCCCGCAAGAAGGACCACATTTTAGCCACATGACTATGGCAAAACTCTTCCATAACTTTTGTCTGGACAACTTTGCCTGTGATTTACAAGCCCTGTTTTGCTATGGTGGTTTGTACTCAGAAAATATTTTGATAGCAATGGTTGGTTTCTTTTTTCTTTTCTCTTTTCTTTTTGAGACGGACCACTGATGAGGAAGGGGGTGGTGGTGGTGGTGGTGGTGGTGGTTGTGGTGGTGATGGTGGTGGAGGTAGTGGTGGTGGTGGTGGTGGTGGTAAAAATGCCCCCAAGTACTTAACAAGGGGAAATGGTGGTAATTGTCAAAACCTTCCAAAGTTGCCCTATTTAGAAGACATGCTTCAATAACATTAACATCTGTGCTTGCTAAGATGTCAAAATCAGGTCCGAGCTCTTCTACAATATGTACTACACTAATCTATGTCATCAGGGGCATGGCCACATCAGAAAACATTCAGGGCACTGGCAGCCATGTTTTCCATTGTTACTGTACCTGCCTAGGACAAGAGTACCATAGGCTTTGGAGCTGGAAGGGGCCTTAGAGATCATCTAGTCCAACCCTCTCATTTTGCAGATGAGGAAACTGAGGCCCAAAGAGCTTAGGTGACTTGCCCAAGGTCACAAAGTAGCAGAGTTGGGATTCAAACCCAAGACCTCTGACTCCAAATCCAGTGCACTCTTTCCACTATACCACTCTCTACTTAGTCTCTACCTTGATGCTACAGCAGATCCTTGAAGGCCAAATCGTTCATAGTCTCCTCCATAAATATCCTTCACCAGCTTATCAACATTGGTGCTGTCTCCTTTAGCTGCCATTTCCAGAGCTTCTTCAAAGGTCTCACAACCAGTCAGCAAACAGCACAGGCCTAGGAATGTTCCACCTCCAAGACTAAAGGAACAATAAGGTTTATTTTTTTTAAGACTTGTTTTAAAAAGTGCCCACCGAGGTACCCAAAGAGGCACATTCAGAACATTAGCACAGCAATGAGGCAGGAGGAGAAAAACAATCGATAGTTCACATTAAATGGACTAGGGCTCGGGGCAGCTCAGGGTTAAGGCTGGACCAGGAAGTGGGAGCAGAGTTGGCTGGGATTAAAAACAAACTCTTTAGGAAAATGTCATGCCCTTGGCCTTCGGATGAAAGCCATACCAACCAGAATGTTTCCATGAGTTACAGTTGTGAGACCTTGGGCTAGTCCATTAACTAGGCAGCCTCAGTTGCTGAATATGTTATAGGAGGTTGAAGATAACTTTCCTCTCTGGATAGTTTGTGTGGGAAATATAATATATAGCCATATATATAATATAAAGCCATATAATAAACATAAAAAGTATGTGTAGTTGATACGCAACTAGAAATAGATTTTGCATGCAGTAAATATGAAAATCATAAATGGAGTCTTCAACCCTCCAATAAAAACACTGACTTTGGCTTCTCCTTCCTGGAGAATTCTTCCTTCTTTCCTCTGATCTCACTCCTCTCAGGGAGACAATCCCATTTACCTATGTGTATTTCTTAACTGAGATGTCTGAAAGGAAGCAACTCATCTGAGATCCTGGCCAATAGCATCTGAGAAAAGATGATTAACATTCTACAATCCCTCAACGACATAAAATGGCAAGGATGTTTGACTTCTTATCTGAGCTGGACATATTCTCTGACCCTTCAGACAAATGTCTTCGATATACAGAGAGACAGAAACCACTTGAATGTCTCCATTTAAAATTTGTCTTGTCATCTGTTTAAGTACATTTAAAATGTCCTGGAAAAGAGGTAATGGCTCCTTTAAAAAACATTTTGGGAGCAAAAGGAAAAGAAGCTAGAAGTCTGATACTAAGGAAGTCAGCTGCATGGAAATTACCTGAGAGAAGAGGAGTCAGGTTAAGTTAAGAACAAAGATAACAGCTAGAGAAGCCCCAGACAGGGCCAAGGTCATCACAAGGTGCAGACGTCTGCACAGTGTCATGATTCCTTTTGCTTGAAAGAAAGAAAACAGAATGCAGAAGCAGTGAGGTTGGATCTTGAAAGGGCAAAAACAATTCTTTGTGGGGAGGAATTTGAAGTGCATAGTCAAAGGTCAATACAAATAGTAGAGACTTATAAAGGCTTCTTACACCAAGAAGCCCCAAAGTGCTGAAAACAGGAGCAATGTATACGGCACAATGAACTTTAAAGACTAACAAAAGATGTTGTTTTCCACGTTGGACTGGGAGGAAAAAACAGAGACAGATTAAATAGTGATCCCTAGTAGGAAAAAGTTGATGAGAAGGGAACTATATTATATCTATGATACCATTTGCATTTCTTTAAATCTATCTTTAAATATTAGCTAATGTTTAAGTAGCAACAGTTTATATTTTAATAAAAAGGTTTTTTTTAATCCTATTGGGCAGGAATCACATAATCTGTATTCTTCAGTTACCCACCATCTATGGAAAGATTGGCAATTTGGACTCCAAGGCCATAAGCCAGGCCATCACCCATCAGCTAGTGGTAGTAATCTAAACTATGGGCACAGCAGTAGAGAAACACCATCATATACATCTATTTGTAAACCTAAAGCTATACAGTGACAACAAATATAATAATGGCATTTATAAGATAACATGGTCTTGGTAAATTGACTGCCTTAGAATGAAGGCCATTCATTATTAGATAATATGTATGGCTGAAGAGGTAAGTGATTTCAAACAGAGAAATCTTAAATTGAACAGGGAGGAAACCACGCATTCACAAAGCTGGAAAATGGGGGACACAGAAAAATAACGCATGAACACACTAGAAACAAAAGTAAATGGAGGGTACTATATACAAATAATAATACTTTCTCTCAAGATCTGATTAACTGGGCACATATTTAGAATGTGACCAAAAGTATATTAGTTTCTCAGTAAACAGTGAAAGTCAAAACATCTCACTGAAAATTCTCATGGCAGATAGCAAACCCTCTAGGCCTTAGCTGATGGTCTTTTGTGAGGTGCTCTCAACCTAAAAATACTCAGCCCCTGGTAGTCAACTTTCTGGTAGTAGACTCCTCTGAAACTTAGATAAGCTGTTCTTCAGAAAGCTAGACACATGCCCATCCCCAAGGGCCTACACTATTTGTTACTAAAATTTTGTGGTGCTAGATATTTTTTTAAAAAGGAAGTCTTTATTTAAGAGGGACCCTTAAGAAACTTAAGCTCACAACGGAAAGAGAAGGAATTCTCCATCTCTTGCCTTGATTTTTCATGCTCATTCCACCTCTTAGAATTCCTAGCTCCATTCAAAGCCCCAACTCAAGTGCTGTCTTGACACAGATCTCTCTTAATCTCCACAATAAAACTATCTTCCTCTCCCTTCCTCTGATACACTCCCATCCCCAAATTACTTCGCATTTACTTGGTGTCTCTTTTATATTTACTCATCAATATGTATATTATTTCCACCTAGCAGAAAGCAAGCTCCTCAGGAGTAGGAGTTGATTTCATGTTTGTTTCTTTGAATCTCCCATACGTACCACAGTATCTGACCACATATAGGCTCTTGACAAATGCTGGTGGAAATTAATTGATTCATCAAAAAAAACCCACCAGTATTTCCCCATCCAGGATTCTAAATTTTCCTCAAAAAAAATGTTTTCTCTCTCTTAAAAAGATTTCCTCAAAAAGGTAAGCTCCTCACTTAAGACTAGATGCATTCCAACAAAGTTTACTTGTGAAGTTAATTTATCTAAGTGAATCCTGTTTTTCAATTGACTTACATAATTAATTTAGAGACATTTTGCCAGAAAAATTATTGGTCCCAATTTTTTAAAATCCCATTTAAGCAAATGCAAACCTTTAAAAAAAATTTTCAAGGGAAAAGAGAAGTTCCTATACCATTGTTTGTCTATTCAAAGAAAATAAAAAACACACCATTAAAATAGAATATAGTATAAAGCAGCACAAATTGTGGCAATACAAGCATCTTTCTCACTGTCTTTTAAAGGAATCAACAGGCCCTGAAGAGTTCAGAGATTGGCTAGGTTTTTAGACAGGCATGGCTAGAGGTAAGATGGGTAGGGATGGAAAGGGATAGAGGAAAGAATAGGAAATAATTTTCAATTCCCTTAACTTGAATCTGCAATTCACTTTTAACTTGGGGACCACCTCCAATATTTCTATCTGTGATCCCTCAGAGAATATTTCTCTTTTCTCAGTCACTGCACCTTTAACAGAAAACCAAGTTCTGAAACAATTCAATATGGTCACAACTTTTCATTAAATTGTAAAGTTCAAAGTTAAACTGCAAAGCCCCTCCCAACAGTTCTAAAGAGTTATGGTAAGAAGATTGACATCATACATTGCAGCAAGTCTCAGAGTACATTCTAGGCAGACCCTTCTACCCACTGAACAGGACCTGAGTCCTCTTGTCCTAATACCTTGGCAAAGACTGATACTCCCTAGTCCTAGAATGGTTTCTCTAATCACCCTACTCCCCCCAACCACCCCCAATCAAAACACACATACTTAATTTGCACCAACTCAAATGTCACCTCTCTGAAGCCACCGCCAGTATCATCATGAATGACCCTCTCCCTCAGAGTTCTCATAGTAATTTAGCTTTTAGCTAATGTAATTATTTTATAATCCTATTTACTAAAGAAATCTGTATGGGATGTTTTGTTTCTACAGTAGACTATAAGCTCTATGAAGACAAGATTTATCTAAATTTTCTATATTCCTTGGCTCCTAACAGTACACTGAACATCGTTGGTAGGTAATTAATGTTGCTTGGATTAAATAGAACAATGTTATATAAAAATCAATGCATCAGGAATCCAGCCTGAATATTACTGATTGCTATATTATCATACTGTAAAGAGAATCAGAATTTAGAGCTAGAAGAAATCTTAAAGAGATCAGACAGTCTGATCACTCATTTTGCAGATGAGGAAGCTGAGGACCAGAGAGACAGGAAATGACTTGCCCAAGATCATATCTGTAATAAGTAGCAGTGTGAGGTCCTCCAACTTCTTTAAAAACCTAGGGAAGGAAGATTGTTATACTGCAGCAGAAGGTTCTCCTTAAGGAAGATCTATTTACCTGGTCCCTGTAACTCTTTTATAGTTGTCCTTGGAATACACTGCTAGGATGCTAACACCTGAGCCCATGTTAACCAGCAACATGGGATATGGATTATCAAGGCAGTAAGGCTTTTTTTGACACTGTTCAGGATCTGTGGGTTTTTCAAAATAGTAACACTCGGGTTTGCCATTGAAGCCGATGGAATCAACATAGAGCAGCCCTTGTATCAAACAGTCCAATTCATCCAGCTTGTGGAGCTGCAGATCGGCGATCTGAAAGAAAACAAGAAATCAAGGAGAAAGGGATGGTTAGGCCATAAAAGGAGACCCAAAAGGCTCAAGGGTGGCCCTTAGATCTATCTGCAGAGCTCACCAGGATTAAAGGAGTCCAGCTACCATTCTGAACAGGGACTTCCAAGGACATTTAGAGGAAGGGAAGAAAAGGATCTAGAAAGGCAGAAGTTGAAAGAAGGCAGATTTTTTTTTAGTTCAATATAAGAAAAGATTCTCTTAACTCTAGTTCTGTAATAACAGATACAGCTGAATGATGCAGAATAGTCCCTCAGGGAGTGGGGGTCAACTCCCTTTTCTTCTCTCATATTCATGATCATTGCAGATAATAATGATAATCACAATGGCACATTTAAATGTAGCACTTTGCAGCTTACACAACACTTTCTTCACAATGAGCCCTTAAAGAGGGCAGTGGCAGGCCAGCAGGGGTTTGCCCTGGGCCCTGAGCTGAGTCAGTAGGTCCTAAGCAAGGGCCAGATCATGCTGGGCTAGGAATGCTGCTGACTGTGGAAGGCTTGCATTTTGTGAGAGGGGGGACCTCTGACTGTGAGTCTGCACTTCTCATCCACAGACAAGCACACACACGCACACACACTATAAGACACAGGTTCATCTTATTTCTAAGAAACTATTCATTAGCATGTGGCAAAAAGAGGGCTCTTCTGGGGGGAAGTCAGAACAGAGTGACCAGGCAGCAACACAAAACTCTACATTTATTGCGCCGCCTCAGAAACAAACACAAAATTACTATTTCTATTATTAACAACTCCTACTCACATTTGGATAGAGCTTAGAATCATTTAGAGCTATATGGATTCAGAGTTAGAAGGAATCTTAGAAATTATTTTGTCTAACCTCCTCCTTTTAAACATGAAGTAATTGAGTCCTGGAGAGATCTAAAGTGACTGCCCAAGGTGGTAGAGTCAGGATTTAAACACAGATCCTTTGATCCCACAACCTGGAATCTTTCCACTCTACCACACTGCCACTTCTGTCATAATAACCCTGAGACATAGGTAGTACATATGTTATTATCCCCATTTTATAGATGAAGAAATTGAGGCTTGGAGACACTGAGGAGTTTGTTTACAATTGTACGACTAGTCAAGGCTAGAGGAAGGATTTGAATACAGGCCTCCTGATCCTAAATCCAAGGTTCTTCCAGTAGACCATCCTGCCTTTCATGGGAAATCTGATGCATTCTGGAAGTAATGGCGTTGGAGGTTTGGGTATTAGGCCTACATACTGAAAGCACAGCCCTACTATTAAATTTAGTGGTGCTGAACTAGAAAACTTTCTCTCTTGCCTTGGAGGAAGCCCTGATTATCTGAGGTTCAGAAAGGAAGTAAGAGGGAGAGAAAGATAAGAAAATATTCATAGCAGCCTCCAAAGTCAGATCAAATATGATTAAATTCATATTTTTAGACTATCATGTAACATTCAATAAGGGAGTTTATCTATATTATGTTACTCTTACCATAAACACAAGCTCATAGATTTATTAGAAGGGACTTCAGAGGTCCTTGTGTCCAACATCTCATTTCACCAATAAGGAAATTTAGTCACAAAGAGGTTAAGTAACTTCTGGTGTCATACCGCTATTAAGTATCTAGGGCAGGATTTGAACCCAGGCAGGTCTTCCTGTCTCCTAAGTCCATCATATTTTAACTTTCCAAAATGTAGACTTAGTACCCTCCATAACATCAAGCAATACTCATTTCAGACAAAAAGCTGAAGGGGAAAAACTGCTCATCTCTTGGCTCCACCAAAAATCCCCCCAACAAGACATAAATACAGCTCGGTACAAAAGCAGGGAGATAAGTGGAAAGAGCACAGGAACCATTGGAGACAGATGACCTGGGTCATGCAGTTTCACTCCTTTCTAGCTGTGTCACACAAATCAAGTTCTGTTACCCCTGTGGGCTCAGTAAAGTGTGAGTGTTGGATCAGATGAGCTCTAAGGACCCATGGAATGAGTGCAAAAGTTTTATGAATCCTACGATTCTGTGAAAATACTCCATTTGAGGGCAGCTAGGTGGCACAATGGATAGAGCACCAGCCCTGCAGTCAGGAGGACCTGAGTTCAAATCTGGCCTCAGACACTTGACACTTACTAGTTGTGTGACCTTGGGCAAGTCACTTAAGCCCATTGCCTACCAAAAAGAAAAAAAAAAGAAAAAGAAAATACTTCCTTTGCGAACACAGCCTATTGTTTCAAGAAGGCCTCCAGTAAGATCATGCAAAGAGCCAACACAAAACACCTGACCTGTTGCTCCCTACCTGTGGGGAGAGGAAAGGCCTGCAGAGACCTTGTAAAGTGTTTGACAAGGAAGATAGGGAAAATACTCCCCTGAAGGAAGTTGTTTTGTTTTGTTTTACCGAGCCAAAAACCCACTATTACCTCAGATACATGAAATGCTAGACCTTGAAGGGCACTTAAGAAATCATCTACTTGGGGGAGCTAGGTGGAGCAGTGGATAGAGCACTGGCCCTAAAGTCAAGGAGGACCTGAGTTCAAATCCAGCCTCAGACCAAAAACTTGACACTTACTAGCTGTGTGACCCTGGGCAAGTCACTTAACTCCAATTGCCTTAAAAAAAAAGAGAGAGTGAGATCATCTACTCGAGTCACCTGATAGATATAAGGAAAGTTCACAATGATGAGAAAAATGGCCCACAATCATAAAGCTAGTAGGTAGCAGGGGTAGGACCCAAACTCAGGTCCCCAGATCCCCAAACTCCAAATCCACTGTTCTTTCCCTTTACACATACTTAGTTGCAAGTGTGACCTTAGATAAGTCATAAGCTCACCAAGCCTCAATTTTTTTCATCAGAATAATTATACCTGATACTAATACCACCTCTCAGGGTTTTTGTGAAAATCAAGTGAGATTATGAGAAATTAATACAGGACTCACACATGCAAATGAGTAACAGACATATACAGAGCTCATCTTTATAGAGAACATATATGGAGAGTGGGGGAACCAGGCCAAAGAAGATGATGAACAAAATTGTACAAAGGCCAGTATGTAAAGGACTCAAGTGGTAAAGAGTTAGCACTTTTACAAACTCATCTTGTCCATGATCTAACTGAATGGACAGTGGTTTCATCAACCTTTCCTGGTATTATGGGTTAACCTGCTTAAAAATTAATCTGGGATAATAAATAATACTCAAGGCTATGCCCAGACAAGCACTGTCAACAAAAGACAGGCCATGAGACTGACAGGTGGATGTCCTGAACACAAACTGGAAAATAAAAGCCAAAGCATAGAAATTTAAAACAACATGGCACAGTGTATGTGAGTATACATGCATACATACACACCCTCACACACACACACACACACACACACACACACACACACACACACACACAGTGATTCTAAAGGAATAGGTATCTCACCACTTTCTTCCAAACCATTCTAAAAATAAATCACAGAATCTGAGTTCAAAAGCATTTCAATTCATATGCAAACAAAAATCCCCTCTGCAGTAAGATCTCCAACAAGAAATCACCCAGACCTCATTTGATTCTTCCTCCTAGAGGCAGCCTGTTCCATTTTTGGAGAGTTCAAATTCTGGAAAGCTTTTTTCTTACATTAAACCTAAACCTGCTTCTCAGAAACTGCTACCTATTGTTCCAGATCTGCCCTCTGGGGCCAAAGCAGGACAAGTCTCCTCCCTCTTTTAAGGGACAACCTTGAAGTGTTCTGCTTTCCTGGTTAAATGTCTCCAGTTCCTTCCACCAATCATTGGATGGCACAGTCTTGAGGACCTTCACTGTCTTGGTTGACCTACTCTGTACACTTTCCAGCTTGTCGATGTCCTTCTTAAAATTTGATACCCATTGGGTAAATCCAGTAATTCAGATGTGGCCAGGGCAGGGCAGGACTAGCCTAAGACTACATTAGCTTTTGTTAGTAGCTATATTACACTACAGACCCAAAGAGATTCAGAACAATAAATGCCCCAATGGCTTCTTTTCCCCCCAAACTGCTCTCTTTCCATATCTCTATCCATATCCTTATACTTGTGAAGATGGGTTTTTTTTACCCAAAATGTAGAAATTTCTGTTTATCTCAGTTAAATTTCATCTTGTTTGTTCCCATGTTTTAGCCTATCAAGATCTTTCTCAATCCCAATTCTCACCCAAAGTGTGAGCTGCCCCTTCCAGCTTTGGATCGTTGACTGATGGATTCATTCATTCATTCAACAAACATTTATCCAACATACAACTACAGTGAAAGCTAAAACATGCCCCCTTTGACCCAGCAATAGCACTTCTAGGGCTGTATCCCAAAGAGATCATAAAAATGGGAAAAGGACCCACATGTACAAAAACATTTATAGCAGCTCTTTCTGTGATGGCAAAGAATTGGAAATTGAGAGGATGCCCATCAACTGGGGAATGGCTGAGCAAGTTGTGGTATATAAATGTAATGGAATACTATTCTGCTGTAAGAAATGGTGATCAGGCAGACTTCAGAAAAACCAGGAAAGACTTGTATGGACTGATGCTGAGTAAAGTGAGCAGAACCAGGAGAACATTGTACACAGTAATAGCCACACTGTGTGATGACTAACTTTGACAGACTTAGCTCTTCTCAGCAATGCAAGGATCTAACACATCTCCAAAAGCCTCATGATGGAAAATGCTATCCATATCCAGAGAAAGAAGCAGATTGAAGCATACTATTTGCTCTTCTTTTTCTTCTTGTTTTGTTTTGTTTCTTCTTTCTCGTGGTTCCTCCTATTGGTTCTAATTCTTCTTTACAACATGACTAATGTGAAAATATGTTTAATACGAATGTATTTGTAGAGCCTATATCAGATTGCAGGCCATGTTGGGGAGGGAGGCAGAGAGGGAGGGGAAGATGATTTAAAACTCAAAAGCTTATGGAAGTGATTGTTGAAAACTAAAAATAAATTAATTAAAAAACTGTATAAAAAAAATAAAACATGCCATATCTGCCT